TATTCTGTATTTTCACTTTTGTGAGCAGGCCCAACCTTAGCATGAGTTTCAGAGTCATCGCTGCGGCGGCGTCCTCAAGGGTCCCTTGTGGTGGCCGCGTGTGACTCCCCCAGGGCCACCGAGTGCCAGGACTGATCGGTCTGGTGCAATGGGATGGGCTTGTCGGTGCAGACGGGATCTTTCACTTGGGCAGCTCCCGGGGCAGAGAGGAGGGAACGGGGGTGGGTAGAGGGGATTCCTCTGGGGTCATAGAGAGTAGGAAGCCAGAGCGGCCCATTTCCCTGCGTGGGGGGTCCATTCCCCAGCTGTTCCCCATCACTCAATGGCACAGTCTCAGCTCAGATCCCGGTTCTTCCACCCAGACCAGGGCCGGATTCTGTCCCCAGCGAAGGAGGCCGGCGGGAAGGTGAAGATCGGGGCCTCGGTGTCAGCATCGAGAAACGACACCTGCCCCCCTACACAGTCCAGACAGACCCACATCCTCGTGGGCACCCGGCGCAGGGACAGGGGGGTGGCAGCAGGGGCTGTGAGAGCCCGGACCTGATTCCCCCAGCACTGCACTGCCCAGATCCCCTCCTCGGGGCTAAATCTGACTAAACTCTTCCTCCTCACAGACACTCTGGCGACCCCCACGGCCCAGTCCCCCTGCCCCACCTCCACCTCCACCTCCCAGCAGTGTCTCCCAGAGGTGAATCCCTCCCGGCCCAGCACACGCTTCTTCACAACCAATCTCTCAGAATTCTTGGGCACAGGCTGCCGTTTGTCTGCACGTCTCACACTTCTCCGATCCTCAGAAAGGACGAGCCAGGGATTTGCCGTGTCTGGATCCAGAGTCACCGTCGCTGGATCAGAGAATGGCAGCGTCAGGGCAGAGCTCAGCGCGGGGCAGACATGGCCATTCCTCCCCCTCCCCACCAGCCCCGTCCTGCCTGGGACTGTCCTGGGTCCCCGGAGATGACTCTGCCCTGGGCCCGGGGGCTGAGCACCGACGGTCCCACAGCCCCTCAATCTGGCATGGGGGAGAGCCCTGGCCTGGGGAAAGGGAGCAGGTAGCTGCAAATCCATAGGCAAGAATAGGAAAATCCCAGCCCAGTTTCCCTGGTCCCAGTGTGGGGGGTTTGGTGCTGGGCTGGGAGAGGGTTTGACTCTTGTCCAGGGGTGGCCGTGGGCTCTGCTGGATCATTGTGTTAATGCCGGGACCAGCTCCCCAGCGCTTACCCTTTGTGTATGATCCCTCTGGTACCCTTTTGCCCCTCTCCAAGGTGGACGGCAGAGTCTCTGCAGGGGAAAGGGGCACAGATATCAGACTTGTGGTGTCTGGTTCATGCTCCTGACTTAGACCTGCCTTGGTCCTGAGCCCCTGAGACTGAGCAGAGACACCGGGGCAGCTCCTGCCCTGCTGCTGGGACTGTGGCTGCAGAAGCTGCCTCCACATCTCCCTGCTCCCCTGCAGCGTGGCCTCCTCTCCCAGGACAGGGCGGGAGGGAGCTGCAGGTGCAGGCAGAGGAGTAGGGGGAGAAATGTAACACCGCGGATCCAGGGGAGTTCAGTGCCCAGCCCATCCTGCCCCCTTAGACACTGGGGTGAGGGACTCAGAGACAGAAAGGGACAAGCAGCAGGGGTGGAGAGGGAGCCTGTGGGAAGGGGATGAGATTCACAGCTCTCTTGTTCACTGGCGGAGGGGACAGGCAAGGGCTGACGCTGGCTGGGGAAGTCCAGGGGTCCAGACAGAGTGGCCCTCTGCTCCAGCGGCCCCTGTGGGGGTGCAGGATACCAGAGGGGCAGCTTCACCTGGGCCGCCCCCCACCTGCCTGCTCTGCTCTCTTCCTGCTCCTCTCCTGGCCCTTGGGAGCACCCTTCCCCCTGCTGCTGCACCCCTGGGGTTAAGCCAGCAGGATCCAAACCTGACAGCCTGCCTCATGTTTAATTTTGGCTCTTAACTTTGGTGGCCTGACATGAGGCACTGGGGGCTCGCTCTGAGTGGGGCAGGGCCCCGCAGCTCCCACCACCCCAGCTGCAGGTGCCCAGGCTGAGCAGCACTGGAGCAGCAGGCACAAAGGCAGAAAGAGGCCCTTGCCTCGTGTCTTCCTTCCTGTTACCTGCGATATCAGTCCAGCATGTTCAGTTTATTTCCCAATTTAAAAAGATGCTGGCTCCAAATTCAAACCACCTGCTTGTCTCTCCTTCCTCAACAAGGACACTTCCCTCTTCCCTTTCGCAGCCCCCTTCTCAGTAGCTTGAAACTTCCTCAAAATCTCCTGTAGAGCTAGCGTTTGTCCAGACAAGATGCTGAGTCTTGTTTCCAGCTCTGGGCAAATCCCCTCTGGCAACTGGAACTGCTCCTTCCTGCACCTGGGAAAAACGAGTCTGTGTTATTTGATTTTCTTTTTGCAGCTCAGCTACATGGTAGAAACATTGGGTGGATGGAGGGACCTAGAGACTGACTCTGGCCATGTGCCTCAGCCGCAGGGGCAGGGGCAGCACAGACAGTGGCAGTCACAGGCGATGCGTAGGAGGAGCACGGGGGGGAACGTGCCCCCCATGACAGGGCCGGCGGTGCTGAGAGAGCTCGCCAGCTCTGGCCCCACAGCCGATGCCACCCACTCGCCTTGGGAGGCACCAGTTGCCCACGGTGGCAGTGGCAGCTCCCCCAGAAGGGACCGATACCCAGCAGGGATGTTTTCTTCAGCTCCTAAATGTCCAGGACATTTCCTGGGATCAGAAAGGAGCAGAGACTTCATGGGTAGTTGGCTCAAGCTCTGGTGGCCAGGACTATTCCCCGGGGACAAGAGGGGGAAAGCCCAGATTACACCTTACAGTCTTCAGGCTGCCGGTGCCCAAAGCCATCACTTCCCCGAGGAGAGGAGGGGGACGTTCATGCTTTCCACCTCACGGACAATCCCAGCGCTTGCCGTGCTGTGGTGCCCTGCAGGGATGTGCCCATTGCATTTTCTCCAGGACCCTTCCCTCTATGGGGAGTGGGGTGGAGCCACGTACCTGCTCAGCGTGCTCCTCATGTCCTAAAGGGAGAAGCAAAGCTGCAAGAGTGAGCTCAGTGCAATGCCCCACACCGGGGACCCCCTGCCCGAGGGGACGCACTTTGTCC